CCCTCAGGTTGATTTACTAAAGGCAAATAGACTGTGCTCTTTGCAAAGTCCAGTTGCACTCTGCAAGAGCAGTTGCTCCAGAGCTTAGTAAATGAGCAGAAGTTCTGCTGACTTCTATCATCCAGTCATGTGCAAGCAAAAATGCTGTTTTTTTTTATTTTCCTTGCACATGATTGGGTATTCTTTGCAAAGTGAAGCTTTACCTCATTTACTAAGCTCTGGAGCAGCTGCACTTACAGTCTATTTGCCTTTAGTAAAGCAACCCTTTTGTCTCTTCTACATTAAAATGACTTACCTGCCTATCTGCCCTTGTACAGTGAGCCACGCACACGCAGCTCACTGTGCAAATTCAGCAATGCTGAATCTAACTTAACTCCTGTGCATGCGCTCTCACTGTTGTGTCTCAGCCAAAGAAGAGGCTGGATTGGAATTGCGGTCAGGTGAGTATAAGGGGGGAGCTGCACACTGAAGGTTTTTTTTACCTTCATGCATAGAATGCATGAAGGTAAAAACCTTCAGCCTTTAAAACAACTTTAAGGCTAGTTAGGTGTATAGCCGGAATTACACTTTAAGTGAAAAAAAGGTTTTTTACTTCTGCTATACCTCCTCCCACCATGCAGAAAAAGCAGTTAAAATAGTCTCCACCAAACCCTTTACTTGCTGTTTCATGGTTTTCCTGTGCTCTGTTCTGGATTCTGTTCTGTATAACAGAGAGTGGCTGGCTTTTACTTTTGAAAACATTAGTTTCCTGGCTGGTATTCTGACCTTCTGGTATAGTGCACTTACTGTGGGGCAGGCATTAGCATATTAAAATGGAAAAGTGAACTGGCCACAGCAGAGCTGCACAAATGGAAAATATATAAACGGTACCTTGCTGGTACAGGCAGCACTGTTATCAACCCTGACTCAGCGTTACTTTGACCAGGTGGAAAAAATACCTCATATTTCCAGGTATGCAGAAGTGTGCATGTGACTTACTACTCTTTTTCCCCCATTTGGTGTATGTGCCTTAGCGTTCTAAGACAGTGGTCTCCAAACTGCTGCCTGGGGGCCAGATGCGGCCCTTTGCTTGCTTTTATCTGGCCCTCAAGGCATTATTACTCCCACTGCAAACAACAGTGTGGCATGGTTTCTCTCCCTGACATCAACAATGGGGCACTATTCCTCCTATTGATGATGATGGGGCATTATTCCCCAATTTATACCAACGATGGGGCACTATTCCTTTAATTGATACTAACCATGGGGCACTTTTCCTCCCATTGATACTAATGATTGGGCACTATCCCTCCCATTGACACCAATGATGGGGCACTATTCCTCCCATTGACACCAATGATGGGGCACTATTCCTCCCATTGACACCAATGATGGGGCACTATTCCTCCCATTGACACCAATGATGGGGCACTATTCCTCCCATTGACACCAATGATGGGGCACTATTCTTCCCATTGAAACCAGTGATGGGACACTATACTTCCTATTGAAACCAGTGATGGGACACTATTTCTTCCATTGATACCAAGGATGGGGCACTATTTCTCCCATTGATACCAAGGATGGGGCACTATTTCTCCCATTGATACCAATGGTGGGGCACTATTTCTCCCATAGATACCAAGGATGGGGCACTATTTATCCCATTGATACCAATGATGGGGCACTATTTCACCCATTGATACCAATGATGGGGCACTATTCATCCCATTGACACCAATGATGGGGCACTATTCCTCCCATTGACACCAATGATGGGGCACTATTCCTCCCATTGACACCAATGATGGGGCACTATTCCTCCCATTGACAATGATGGGGCACTGTTCCTCCTATTGTCACCAATGATGGGGCATTATTTCTCCCATTGCTACCAAGGATGGGGCACTTTTCCTTCTATTAATAGTAACGATGGGGCACTATTTCTCCCATTGTTACCAATGATGGGGCACTATTTCTTTGATACTAAGGATGGGGCACTATTCTTCCCTTTGATATTAACGATGGGGAACTACTTCTCCCATTGATACCAATGATGGGGCACTATTTCACCCATTGATACCAATGATGGGGCATTATTCCTCCCATTGACACCAATGATGGGGCACTATTCCTCCCATTGACACCAATGATGGGGCACTATTCCCCCACTGATACCAATGATGGGGCACTATTCCTTTCATTGATACCAACGATGGAGCACTATTTATCCCATTGATACCAATGATAGGGCACTATTCCTCCCCCTAATACCAATGATGGGGCACTTTTCCTCCCATTGATACTAACGATGGGGCACTATTCTCCCCCATTGATACCAATGATGGGGCGCTTTTTTCTTTGATACTAAGGATGGGGCACTATTTCTTCCCTTGATGATATTAACGAAGGGGGAACTACTTCTCCCATTGATATTACCAATGATGGGGCACTATTTCACCCATTGATACCAATGATGGGGCATTATTCCTCCCATTGACACCAATGATGGGGCATTATTCCTCCCATTGACACCAATGATGGGGCACTATTCCTCCCATTGACACCAATGATGGGGCACTATTCCCCCACTGATACCAATGATGGGGCACTATTCCTTTCATTGATACCAACGATGGAGCACTATTTATCCCATTGATACCAATGATAGGGCACTATTCCTCCCCCTAATACCAATGATGGGGCACTTTTCCTTCCATTGATACTAACAATGGGGCACTATTTCTCCCATTGATACCAATGATGGGGCACTTTTCCTCCCATTGATACTAACAATGAGGCACTATTCCTCCCCCTAATACCAATGATGGGGCACTTTTCCTTCCATTGATACTAACGATGGGGCACTATTTCTCCCATTGATACCAATGATGGGGCGCTATTTCTTTGATACTAAGGATGGGGCACTATTCTTCCCTTTGATATTAACGATGGGGAACTACTTCTCCCATTGATACCAATGATGGGGCACTTTTCCTCCCATTAATACTAACAAGGAGGCACTATTCCTCCCCCTAATACCAATAATGGGACACTATTCCTCCCCCTAATACCAAATGATGGGGCATGGTTTACTCCCACTGACGCCAGGACCTTTTCTTCTCCCACTGGTCACAGTCCGGCCCCCTCTAAAGTTTGAAGGACAGTAAACTGGCCCTTTGTTTAGAAAGTTTGGAGACCCCTGTTCTAAGATTAATAGAGGCTGTCATTACTGCACTCTCCTTTAACCTCCCTGGCACTCCCGCGATGTCCCTCCTGCAGTGTCCCCGGCAATGTAATCCGGCGCATGCCGGCATCGGTCATCTGGGTTCCGTCCTGTGCGAGCGTCGGGATGTACGGGGGACAGAATGGCGGGAAATTTGAAAATGACAAAAAGTGACATTCACTAAAATCACATCGTAAAACATTACTGTATCAAACCATTTCACATACATTTTGTCCCTAGTGCTTTGTCCTGTGCCCTGCCTGCATTTTTACTGTTCTTTCTGCCTGGAAACTGAGAAACGTCCATGGCGTCCAAAAAGCGTCCCTTTAGGTCAAAAACGGTTTTAGACCAGCTAGAGAATAGCGATAGTAAATCAGAACCACTTGCAGAATTGAGTGATAATGATTCGTGGGGAAATTCGTCAGACACTGAAAACAATTTTGTGACTTTGGTCAGTGTCAGTGATGTGCGAACTTGGCGCTGTATTTCAAATTTCAGTGTTTTTGGTTTGATTATATTATTGAATTAAATTTATTATTATTATATTATTTTTTATGATTATTAAATTATAATTTATGATTTCGTGTTTCAAGTTTTATCCTACCCAGGATGTTTACTAGACTCTTGTTCGGACAGATTTCAGTGAGTTATTCCTAAAAATTACAGGCCTACAATAAAAAAAAAAACATATTTCCATGCAAAAAAATGTACCGCTTTGAGCACAGAAATATGGACATAATCATACGGCTATGGAGGTTAAGAATGCTAGTTCCCAGGCTGTCATTCTGAAACCTTATTTTCAATGTAGTTGACCCACGACACGTATGGAGATACGGGCACTCATATACAGCATGCTTGTTCCAAGGCTGTGACTAAACATCCTGAAGTCAGCCACAGCCAGACATTTAGCATTTTCAGGAGAGGCCTAAAATAGCAGTCCCCCACAATTCACTCATTACAGGCGCTTTAAAGTGTTACTAATCCCGCAACAGTAAAATCAATCTATATGTGCAGTAAAGCACACTTGTTATATTCACTGTGGAACTTAAGGGGTTAATCATCTGTATTGTGTAAAAAGGATGTTTAATCCTGTCTGCTCTGATCCTCCCCTTCTTCCACTGTCCCTGAACAGAGCCTTGGGCGCAAGCTGCACATGCTCAGCTTGACGTGTATTGCTAGAGAGTTCTTTTTTTCCTTGGGAGAGTGCAAGGAATCAGCACAGGGCCAATCAGCACTGTCCAGACAGTGGGTCAAAGGTCCTGCAGTCTCATAGGACAGTAAGAGGAGAATGAAAATGCTTCCTACAAGATTAAACCAGTGCTCTGCTGGACACTAGAAGTCACAAGACTGCTCTAACTGCTGATGAGAAAATGTATGTAGCAGTTTATATTTACTAAAATAATTGCATGTCCATGTACTGTGGGAGACCAGATATAGAGAATGCAGGGTCATGGGTTTAGTAAAACTTTAATGGTGGAATAAGGAAATGGTAAAGCTCAGAGAATTTACCTGAAGCAGTAATCAGAACAGGTGAAGTCTTTGCTCAAGAATACAGATCTTGAGACCAGTTTATGGATTGATCACCCAAATCATTACCAAATACATACCAGTTTTCTTACACCATCAGACGTCACTAAGAGGTGAATCAGGTAAGAGCATGAAAGCAAAATCTGCCAACACAAATTAAACATTAAAAAAAAAAATAATTTATTGAGTAGACAATACGTATTACTTGTTTTACAACCATGTAACCTATATATACACAACATACACAACGCTCCAACTATCTCTCGTCTCAAGAACTTTTTGCTCGTTTGCTTTTGGCCTTGCGGACTTCTTCTATTAGGTCTTTTAAATACTGGATCTCTTTTGCTAGAGAATCTGCTTTCTCTGTCAGTGAATCATTTCTCTGTTCCAGTTCTCGGCACTGTTCAGATATTGCCTCTTGTTCTGCTTTCTTCTTCTGCCGGTAGCGAGTGGCTGCTGTTTTGTTCTGCTCCATTTTCTTCTTCTTCTTGTCTACTCTGGGCTGCCCTACAGTTTTAACCTTTGCCAAGACTTCTTTATCCTTAGAGGGAAGGTCGTAAGGTTTGGGTCTCTCAGAAATAGGGGACCTGGGAGAGGACTGGACACTACTAGGGTACTCTACAGTAGATGCAGGACTTTGCTGAGGAGACCCCAGATATGACGGGCTCATATAAATCCCACTGTCATTATCTGAGGAATCCTCCTTCTCAGACTTCAGAAGTGGGTTCAAATAAATACTGCTGTGATTATCTAAGGAATCTTCTTTCTCACATTCCGGAACTTCAAGAGTGTAGATTACTGATTTCTTATCTTCCTCAGCAACATCTACCTCACTTCCTACATCCAAGATAAAAGAATGGTCAGGGCTAGAGACATTAGACTCTGATAAACTGGGACTCACTGGAGCCACTTGATCTGCCTCCAGTGTACTTTCTGGAAGAAAGACTTGGGCAGGTGATGGCACAAACTGGCCAAACACCGGTGGGAGAGGTGGGTCCTCTGGGAGATCACAGGAGTCATCCAACGTGGCCATAAGCTCATCTGGCGAGACAGTGGATTCTAGATCTTCCATCCCAAGCAGGGAATCAAAATCAAACTCCTTCAGGTCCATTTTTTCCACCATCCTATCCATGCCGGAGAAGGCGTCTCCTGTTAAGAAATCAGATAATTAGAAGTGACAACCAAAGACTCAGGTTCAAAGACTTCACTATCAAAGTTTTTTTACATCGAAGAATAAAACTTAAGTAAATATAAAAAAGTAAATGATTGGTAACTTCCATAATTTATAACAAGTTGTAATCAGTGTTGTGATTAAACCCAAACCAGATCAAATAAGTGCAGTAAAATGGATTTATACATGGCCCGGGACTGTTAGTAGAAGTACTCTTACCGTGGAAACTGCCAAAGGGTTCAGCCAAAGGTAGCAGTTCAGACGAGACGCCATTCTTAGCCTTTCCGCTGGAGAACCAATGCGATGGGAGGTACCCGGACACCTCAATGAAGTCATCCAAGAGACCCAAATTCTCATCAGCCTCCAAAAACGACTGGTTGAAGGGGGACGAGAAGTCCCCCAACATCAGATCGTCGCTTAACAGGTTCATCTTTTAGAAGTATCAGGGTTTTCACAAAGAAGCTGGTTTCTGAGCTTTCTTCCTCGTGTACAGCAGTGCTGCTGCGGGATGCCTTGAGGAGCCTGAAAGAAAAATAACATATATACATATTTACAATGCAACAGAACTAGCGGTCTATTGGTTTTTGTTTGTATTTGCAACTCCACATCTAAAATCCTGAACTGTAAACACTTTAGACATTCACCTTTGTATGTTATACTGGTTATTCATTTAAAACACATGTACATTAGAGAAGTGGTCAGGAGCATGTTCTATATTGTATAGGACCATTTTCCAGCAGTGTAGGGTAGAACTGATAAAAAAAAGCTGTCCTCCTATAATATATCCATCTCATTTTCACTGCTTCTGCTTTGCATAGGCTGGCTGTACAAATCATCTTTCCCATTCTGTCCTCGCTAATGCCCCATATATACGATCAGAATATCGTATGAAAAATGCTGCTTTTAAAGCGATTGTATAATAATCTGGTAGTACACAGCAATTGCCCAAAAAAAAATAGAAGGGACAAGCATGAAAATATATCGTACGATTTTCGTTTCACCAGTACAGTAGTCCTCCAAAAATACAATACAAACTCATTACATTCTTCCGAATTTTTATTTAGTTGTTAAAGAAGTTTCGTAACTTTAGTGACCTCTTCACTTTTGATATGAGACTAGCATGCAGAAAACAATGATAGTCTGATATTCGGATCATGTATACAGGGCTTAAGCCTCTGAGAAAAGCACTGGAGTTATAATAATAATTGAAGTGGTTAATAAAAGGCTTGTGACTTCAGGGATGGGGGAGATAATGAATGACAAAATAATTGTGGCGGGCTTTTTGTAGGTAAAGACTGGTCTTAGCTGTGGGGACGGATGCTATGACACAATACAAGGAAGTGCAATAGGGTGGAACAAATGCTTGTAACCAGAACTAGCTCGAGTACTCCCCCCACCCACCTGCGTCTGTGTTTTGAGTCTTCCTTTGTATGTCATGGTTTTATTTACCATCTGTCATAACTTCCTCTAATTTTATATCTCAGTTTCTGGGCCGATTACATGTCCTTACTTGTTATGCCTAACTACACACTTCTCAAGATAGCTGGATTCTGGTTTGTACCCATTTTTACCAGAAAACTTTAATCTGCTCTAATCTGATGAAGGCAAGGATAGAGTTTACATTAGCTAGAAATAATAGTCATGTCTGATACCGGTTTACCATATATCTGGATCCATTGGCTATTTTTAGTTCATCGGTTATAGTTGATTGTTACATAACTCTTCCTACCACTCCATCCCCCACAGCTATCTCCTCCTGTGCCACCACCCCCCCTCCCTCCTAGATTGTAAGCTCGAAAGAGCAGGGCCCTTGATCCCCTCATGTTTTGCATTGTATTGGTATTGTTCTGTCACATGTTCTGTCCCCCTTTGTAATGTACAGCGCTGAGCGAACTATTGGCGCTTTATAAATCCTGTATAATAATAATAATAATAATAAGATGAACCCGGCTTGTTTAATCGTTTCTCTCTCCCAGCAGTCAAATGCCTATACAAATGGAATGCAGCTTCCTCATGACCATATATGGCCACTTCCCCCTCCGTCACTCCCACACCACGTTAGTCAAGAGAAACTCGGCCGCCATTTCACAATCCGACCGTCTCGCTTCTTCCCCACCCTCAGGCCATCAACGCCATCTTAACCTCAGATACATTATAACACAGACTTGTAACATTCCATTCTACAGACTACTTGTTTAAATTCCCTTTTGTCCACCTTGGACTTTAGAATTTGACAATTAATTGAGGACCCAACCCCATATCTAAAAATACCCTTTACACAGACATCTGCTGTCCTGTAACATGAGATACTCAAGGGGAATAAGACACCACAGCTGTTTCAGTGGAGATAATGAGCAGCATCTCCCTTGATAATGTCCCTGACTATCACAAAGACAGGCACAGGACATCCCCCACCCTACTGGGATCTACACGTGACGAGTCAAAGCCTTTTACATGGTATTCCCTATTGCTACGAGAAAATATGTTTTAATCAGGGAGCCGTACATTTTACACACAAGGCTCCTTTCACAAAGTTTTAACACAAGGATAAGGGTCTTTATTTTAGCCGCGTGACCGTAATTTTCAGATCTCATTGGACTTAGCTGAAAATAACTTTTTAAATACTTCTAAATCATAGATCGTCATTCTGGTTTATTAGCTTACGCTATTAAGGCTAAATTGACTGAAAAAACCATCACAGAATTTTTCACATTTTAGAATCGTCCAAGTAATCCTCTCCATCATAACCGTACAGTCTAGTACAATGCTATAGACCCTCCAGCCATAAACCCAATAGGAAAGATGACCCAAAAATAACAGCCCCAATTCCCCGGTATACTCACGCCATGTTTGGGCCGATGCCTGGTGGTGCCAGCACTGCTGGGGGCTGTTGCCTCGCTCTGGCCTGGGGAGGGGTTGCCGCTGGCCGCTGCTGCCGCTATACAGCCATGGTGGCCGTGTGGATGGTTGGTGGTAGACTTCTATAACCTGGCACTTGGAACGATAACAACCAAATTAATAAACTCTTCTATAAAGTGACACTGCCAAACTCTCTCTAAGTTACTTCTCTCATTCCACCTGCAGACTGACGTGGCGGGAGGATGGCTCATCCTATATATAGTGCCGGAGTGCTGGAGGTCGTATCCATCCGCCTTCTCATCTAGTGCTTTATTCTTCCGCCTCATATTCTTTACATGTGTGGCATGTCTAGTTCAGGGTGATCGATCAGGAATGTCTGTTACTGGACTGGTAATTGCAGCATTACCATTCAGCAATGTTCACCAAGGAGGATTTTTTTCTTTTTTGGTGTTTTTTTTTTTTGATGGGCTCACCAGGTTACTGGCAGCATGGGAGTGCTGGAGGGGGGTGGGGCAGTCAGGAATGTCTGTTACTGGACTGGTAATTACAGCATTTCCATTCAGCAATGTTCACCAAGGAGGATTTTTTTTTTCAGATGAGCTCACATGGTTACTAGCAGAATGGGAGTGCTGGAGGGGGGTGGGGAGGAGAAAGGCAGCAAGTTGTCCTTGATAATTAATTTCCTCAGAAGCAATTGTGTACACCCTGTATCCCTTCACAGCATGCTTGCTTCCCACACATCAACACACACACCTCCCCCACCCACCCCCTTTGTATATTTAACCCTTTTCTAAAGAAAAAAATTATTCATGCCTCCTTCCTTCCCAGCAGCTACCTTGAGGATGAATAGGATTAACCCTTTCAGGACTGGTGGCTGGAGATTTCCAGTTCTAGACTAGTGACTCCCTGGTGGCTCCATGTGATTATGCCTTTCAGGAATAGCAGCTCTCAGGTGGCTGGAAATGATTAACCTATTCAAGACTAGGGGTTCCCTGATAGCTGAATATGATTAACTCCTTTCATGACTACTAATTCCCAGGCTGCTGGCAATACTTAAAGCGATATTACACCTCAATTAAAAAATTTATTATTTGCATCTTTCCAATCATTAGATGTGGTGGTTGCATACGTTTCTTTCTTTTTAGGCATTTTTTCCCTTTATTTTCACTTGGCGATCTGTCCAGTAACACACTTCCTATCTTAAGCCTAGTACACACTTTGAGAAAATCAAATGAACAATCGTATGATTTTCTACAAAGGTGCATATTATGATGTGACAGATAATGATTTTACCTTGTACAAAAATTCTCGAACAACGAAGGCAAACGTAACTACATACTAACGCAACATGATTATTGTCACAGAAAAATAATATGCTACTGTTCGCAGCTCTTTAACCACTAGCCTACAGGGCACTTATACCCCTTTCCTGCCCAGGCCAATTTCCAGCTTTCAGCGCTGTCACACTTTGAATGATAATTGCGCGGTCAAACAACAATGTATCCATATGAAAATTTTATCATTTTTTTGTGACAGATAGAGCTTTATTTTGGTGGTATTTAATCACCTCTGGGTTTTTTATTTTTTTCTTAAACAAACTAAAAACCACAGAAAATTTTGAAAAAAAAATGTTTTTTCTTAGTTTTTGTTATATAATTTTGTAAATAAGTGATTTTTCTCCTTCACTGATGTGTGCTAATGAGGCTGCACTGATGGGCACTGACAGGCTGCACTGATGGACACTGATAGGTGGCACTGATGAGGAGGCACTGGTAGGTGGCACTGATGGGCATTGACAGGCATCACTGATGGGCACTGAAAGGCAGCACTGATACATGGCACTGATAGGCAGCACTGATAGGCGTCACTGACTGGCACTGTTAGGCGGCACTGACTGGCACTGTCAGGCACTGATAGGCGGCACTGATGCGCACTGATAGGTGGCACTGACAGGCACTGATAGGCGGCACTGACTGGCACTGATAGGTGGCACTGATTGGCAGCACTGATAGGTGGCACTGACTGGCACTGATGGGTGACACTGAAAGGCAGCTCAGATGGGCACTGATATGCGGCATTGATGTGCATTGGTAGGCACTGATGGACACTGGCACGAGGCACTGATGAGCACTGACAGCTGGCACTGCTGGGGCTACACTGCTCATCAGGGTACACTGATCATCAGTGCCCTGATGATCAGTGTACATGTCCCCTCCGCGGAAAGCCGATTACCGGCTCTCCTCTCCTCTGTCAGCGTGACAGCTCAAGGAGAGAAATGCAGATAACCGGCATTTCCCTGTTTACATGTGATCAGCTGTGATTGGACACAGCTGATCACATGACCGAGCCGACATCTTCGGCTCTTTCCATGATCGGTGATCCGCTATGTCCGAGGGACACAGCGCACCGCCGATCGCCGCGCTGCGTGCTCCCTGAGCCGTGCATGGGCAGTGAGAATGGGAGGACATCATATGACGTCCTCCCAGAAGGAGAGAACCACCTTGCACCCGTTATTGTACTATATGGCGGGCGGGAGGTGGTTAATGATTCACAAAACAAAAGTTCTTTCTTGTATGCAATTTTTATTTTTGTTACCATCTTCTTCTGGGTTGTTATCAGTTTCCAATCATGCACGTTAGTTTCTATTTGATTATTTCCGTGCGATTACTGTACACATTGAACAAAAATAAGACATTATAATAATGATTAAGAACATTTTTCTAGCTTGCACCTTTGTTTTTTTTCATCCGAACTGTTGGAATTGGCTGTCGAATGCACTATGCTAACGAACAGATTATCGACCGATCGTTCCTCTTGTGGAAATTTTCATCCAATTTTCTTTTCGTGTGTAATGTCTACACTCTGCTGGAGGAGCAATGGAGACACAAGACAAACGTTACAATTAATAGAATTTCGTACAATTTTTCATATAGTGTATGGCCACCATTAGGGTTCACTCACACTGGCAGTTTCAACTCTGGGGAAATTTCACCCCCCTTGTTCCAGTTCATTTGTGTAGTTTAAGTGAACTGTACTCGGGAACAGTTAAAATAGAACTTCACTCTTTCAATTAAAATTGACTATTTTGGATCCCTGTACTGTTAGCAGTAATTATTGTTATTATTATTATACAGGATTTATATAGCGCCAACAGTTTGCCCAGCGCTATATAAATAGATAGGAAAGTACATCATATTTACTTGTTTTATACTTTTTTTTATATCAAAAATAGTGCTGCACTAGTCACATAAGTGTAAGTATTATGCTGAATCCCAAAGGTAGTGCCACAAACAGTGAATTCCATAAAAACACACTGCGGTAATGACAAATATACTTAAAACACTTATTATGAATATTAGTATATGTGTCCAAATCATTAACGGAAAAATAAAAATAAAAAGTCAAAGCAAATGATTGTTCTGTTAATGGTTTGGACACTTATTCACATATACTAATATTCATATATATGTGTTGGTGTATATGCACATAAGTGTTTTATGAATATTTGTCATTACCGCAGTGTGTTTTTATGGAATTCACTGTTTGTGGCACTACTTTTGGGATTGAGCATGATACTTACACTTACAGTGGGGCAAAAAAGTATTTAGTCAGCCACCAATTGTGCAAGTTCTCCCACTTAAAAAGATGAGAGAGGCCTGTAATTGGCATCATAGGTAGACCTCAACTATGAGAGACAAAATGAGAAAACAAATCCAGACAGGCAGACATTCTTTCCAGGCTGATTTGGAAAGAATTTATTTGCAAATTATGGTGGAAAATAAGTATTTGGTCAATATCAAAAGTTCATCTCAATACTTTGTTATATATCCTTTGTTGGCAATGACAGAGGTCAAACATTTCCTGTAAGTCTTCACAAGGTTGGCACACACTGTTGCTGGTATGTTGGCCCATTCCTCCATGCAGATCTCCTCTAGAGCAGTGATGTTTTGGGGCTGTCGCTGGACAACACAGACTTTCAACTCCCTCCAAAGGTTTTCTATGGGGTTGAGATCTGGAGACTGGCTAGGCCACTCCAGGGCCTAGAAATGCTTCTTACGAAGCAACTCCTTCGTTGCCCAGGCGGTATGTTTGGGATCATTGTCATGTTGGAAGACCCAGCCATGTTTCATCTTCAATGCCCTTGCTGATGGAAGGAGGTTTGCACTCAAAATCTCACGATACATGGCCCCATTCATTCTGTCCTGTACATGTAAACAGCCCCAAAGCATGATGTTGCCACCCCCATGCTTCTTAGTAGGTATGGTGTTCCTTGGATGCAACTCAGTATTCTCTCTCCTCCAAACACGACGAGTTGTGTTTCTACCAAACAGTTCTATTTTGGTTTCATCTGACCATATGACATTCTCTCAATCCTCTTCTGGATCATCCACATGCTCTCTAGCAAACTTCAGACGGGCCCGGACATGTACTGGCTTAAGCAGGGGGACACGTCTGTCACTGCAGGATCTGAGTCCCTGACAGCGCAGTGTGTTACTGATGGTAGCCTTTGTTACGTTGGTCCCAGCTCTCTGCAGGTCATTCACTAGGTCCCCCCGTGTGGTCCTGGAATTTTTGCTCACCGTTCTTGTGATCAGTTGATTTGTTCACACCAAGCTGCTTGCCTATTGCAGATTCAGTCTTCCCAGCCTGGTGCAGGTCTACAATTTTGTTTCTGGTGTCCTTCGACAGCTCTTTGGTCTTCACCATAGTGGAGTTTTGGAGTGTGACTGCTTGAGGTTGTGGACAGGTGTCTTTTATACTGATAACAAGTTCAAACAGGTGCCATTGATACAGGTAATGAGTGCAGGACAGAGGAGCCTCTTAAAGAAGAAGGTACAGGTCTGTGAGAGCCAGAAATCTTGCTTGTTTGTAGGTGACCAAATACTTATTTTCCACCATAATTTGCAAATATATTCTTTCCAAATCAGCCAATGTGATTGTCTGGATTTTTTTTCTTTTATTTTGTCTCTCTTAGTTGAGGTCTACCTATGATGCCAATTACAGGCCTCTCTCATCTTTTTAAGTGGGAGAACTTGCACAATTGGTGGCTGACTAAATACTTTTTTTCCCCACTGTATGTGACCAGCGCAGCACTATTTTTGATTTTGTGAAGATTTGATGACTAGTATGAGAGTTTATTGAGTACACTGCAGTCTGTTCACATGTATCATTTCTATCACATTTAGTGTATTTCATACACATGTATGTTTAAAGCACAGTGGCAATACATTTGTTTTTTTTATTTTATGTATCACAAGGATATATTTGAAATATTTATAATATTTTTTCACTTTTTCACATCTGTTGCTTTTAGCACAAGGGGTTGGGATAAATCTGTAGCAAGCTCACATCATTGATTTACATCCTTTGTTTGTTATTTCCTAGTTCCCATGCCTAAGCACACCATCCTGTTTGCATGCCTCATCTAAGGACAGATAGATTCCAGGAAGTAGTTGCTACATGAATCATCTGCCCTTACTCAAGATGGCCACGCCCAGAAATGCTAGGAGATGTTTTTCTAAGTGATTTCCCAGCAAAATAAAGCCATGAGACATGGATGAATGGGTGAGTTTTCTTTAAATATTAAAAATGAATTAAATAGTGCTTTGGTTTGTGGTGCTCAGATACAGTTTAGTTCTACTTTAAGTGTACTGTGCCCAGCACCACTTGAAAGAGTTCAGAGACCATATCAAAGAATGGGAATGCTAAAATATAATCTTTTTTAGTTTTGGGTTTTACATATTAACCCAGCAGTGGCTCCCTGCAGTTTGCTATGATTAACCCAGTTTCCTATTCCCTGTTTGTAGTAACCCTGTATCCTCAGCATCAGCATACTGGTTCTCATGTATATTAACCCTTTTATATTTATCAGCTCTGTTCACTACCTCTGTTTACTACCCTACTCATCAAAAAGGGCGTGTTTGGAGATTAAATCTCTTTTCCTCCAGACGTAAAGCGTGCCCCCTTGTCCTCTATGATGACCTCAGGGTGAATAACTCACAATATGAACCACTGATGTATTTATACATGTTGATCATATCCCCCCTTAATCTCCTCTTCTCAAGAGAGAATAAATTCAGTTCCTCTAATCTTTCCTCATAGCTGAGCTCCTCCATGCCTCATATCAGTTTGTTTGCCCTTCTCTGCACTTTCTCCAGTTCCCCAATGTTCTTTTTGTGAATTGGTGCCCAAAAGTTTACTTATTCTAGATGAGGTCTTACTAATGATTTGTACAGTGGTAAAATTATCTCTCTCTGGAGTCTATACCTCTTTAAATACAAGAGAGGATTTTGCTCGCTTTAGAAGCCGCAGCTTGGCATTTCATGCCATTATTAAGCTTGTGATCTACCAGAACTCCCAGATCCTTCTCCACCATTGATTCCCCCAGTTGTACCCACCAAGTATGTATGAATTTATTATAGAAGACACTCCATTCCCCCATCCACCAATCTATGCATCACTGCCATAAAACTCATGAATACCACACTGTGCTGCTGGAAGGACTGCCAATTGCTAAAAATCCACCGAGGCACCCACCAGGTTACGTTGGGAATATTTGCTTGGGGAGACTGACACAGCCGAATAGCCTTTTCATGGTTGAAGCAGTTTTTAGATATGGATTGTTTGAAAGAGCATGGTTTAGGGTCCATCCATATCTCAAGGTGTGCTCTAAGTGCACTTCAAGGTATGTACATTGACGTGTTTGCAGCGTTGTGTTTTAAAATGCAATGCTATCCTTTTTCTTTTTTTTTTTTAATTCACCAAGTTTATTTGTAAGATTATCTTTACATTTATGCATGTTGTGATGAACTTACATGTGTTTGCATACCTTGCTACAGGAGTTGACCAGAGAGTTGACCAGAGACTGCGGACATACTACAGGAGATGACCAGAGACTGCGGACACAGTACAGGAGATGACCAGAGACTGCGGATACAGTACAGGAGATGACCAGAGACTGCAAATATAGTACAGGAGATGACCAGAGACTGCGGACATAGTACAGGAGATGACCAGAGACTGCGGATACAGTACAGATGACTAGAGGCTGTGGACACAGTACAGGAAATGATCAGAGATTGCAGACATAGTACAGGAGATGACCAGAGACTGGGACACAGTACAGGAGATGACCAGAGACTGCGGATACAGTACAGGAGATGACCAGAGACTGCGGACATAGTACAGGAGATGACCAGAGACTGCGGATACAGTACAGGAGATGACCAGAGGATGCGGAATACAGTACAGGAGATGACCAGAGACTGCGGATACAGTACAGGAGATGACCAGAGACTGCGGATACAGTACAGGAGATGACCAGAGACTGCGGATATAGTACAGGAGATGACCAGAGACTGCAGATATAGTACAGGACATGACCAGAGACAAACCTTTGGGGAGGGGCGGGTACCCGAATTTGACAGGTACGTCCGCGGAGTTGTCCTCCCCCCTCCCTCCCCATAGTCTTGTGGGACACGTGACAGGTCCCACAAGACTATGGGGCCATTCACAAAGTGCAGCGCTTCTGGCACATGCGCAGAGGGCAAGTGAAGCCACAAGCTGTTAAAGCCAGGCATCCACACTGAAGATGCCAGAGTCAGGGAGAGAAGATGGCCGATGGAAGCAGTACACCGCTGGACTGAGGAACAGGTAGGATGAAGGAGCGGGTTCTTCTGCACAGTAGAGCCGAGTGGCCGGCCCGGTATTCTAACATTGCAGCGGTGTGAATACCAGACTGGCCACTCCATATTCGCTCCATAAGACGAACAGACATTTCCCCCATTTTTTTTTGGCGGGGAAAGTGTGTCTTATGGAGCGAAAAATACGGTATATGTACATGCACTAGCATGTGTTGATCAATGCATGCCATCGCATCTAGTGTGATTAGACCTTTATTGTAACACACCTTCATATACAGGTGAGAAACTCGAAAAATTAGAATATCGTGCAAAAGTTCATTTATTTCAGTAATGCAACTTAAAAGGTAAAACTAATATATGAGATAGACTCATTACATGCAAAGCAAGATAGTTCAAGCCATGATTTGTCATAATTGTGATGATTATGGCTTACAGCTCATAAAAACCCTAAATCCACAATCTCTCAGAAAATTAGAATATTGTGAAAAGGTGCAATGTTCTAGGCTCAAAGTGTCCCACTCTAATCAGCTAATTAAGCCATAACACCTGCAAAGGGTTCCTGAGCCTTTAAATGGTCTCTCAGTCTGGTTCAGTAGGAATCACAATCATGGGAAAGACTGCTGACCTGGCAGTTGTGCAGAAAACCATCATTGACACCCTCTATAAGGAGGGAAAGCCTCAAAAGGTAATTGCAAATAAAGTTGGATGTTCCCAAAGTGCTGTATCAAAGCACATTAATAGAAAGTTATGTGGAAGGGAAAAGTGTGGAAGAAAAAGGTGCACAAGCAGCAGGAATGACCGCAGCCTGGAGAGGATTGTCAGGAAAAGGCCATTCAAAAGTGTTGTGGACTTTCACAAGGAGTGGACTGAGGCTGGAGTCAGTGCATCAAGAGCCACCACACACAGACAGACATAGACTTCAAACGTCGTATTCCTCTTGTCAAGCCGCTCCTGAACAACAAACAACGTCAGAAGCATCTTACCTGGGCTAAAGAAAAACAGACCTGGTTTGTTGTTCAGTGGTTCAAAGTCCTCTTTTCTGATGAGAGCAACTTTGCATCTCATTTGGAAACCAAGGACCCAGAGTATGGAGGAAGAATGGAGAGGCACACACTGCAAGATGCTTGAAGTTGATTTGGGGATCCATGTCATCTGCTGGTGTTGGTTCACTGTGCTTCATTAAGTTTGGAGTCAACGCAGCCGTCTACCAGGACATTTTGGAGCACTTCATGCTTCCTTCCGCAGATGAGTTTTATGGGGATGCTGACGTAATTTTCCAGCAGGACTTGGCACCTGCCCACACTGCCAAAAGCACCAAAACCTGGCTCAATGACCGTGGGATTACTGTGCTTGATTGGCCAGCACACTTGCCTGACCTGAACCCCATAGAGAATCTATGGGGCATTGCCAAGAGAAAGATGACAGACATGAGACCGAACAATCCAGAAGGCACGCCACATTGAGGCAGTAATTGCTGCCAAAGGGGCCCAAACCAAGTACTGAGTACATATGCATACTTATACTTTTCAGAGGTCCGGTATTGTTCTATGTACAATCCTTGTTTTATTGAATGCATGCAATATTCTAATTTTCTGAGATTGTGGATTTGGGGTTTCATGAGCTGTAAGCCATAATCATCACAATTATGACAAATCGCGGCTTGAACTATCTTGCTTTGCATGTAATGAGTCTATCTCATATATTAGTTTCACCTTTTAAGTTGCATTACTGAAATAAATGAATTTTTGCACAATATTCTAATTTTTTGAGTTTCACCTGTATACAGAATGTTAAAAAAAGAGGGATTCTAAGGCTTTATTCACATAGGCACTGGCACCCATACTGTGTGAACAAAACCTTTGGTTTTGCGCATGCATCCTTTCTAAGTTGCACGCAGTCAGCTTATGGAAGTGAATGCAGACGCAGCACAATGTGTCAATGCCCTCTCCTGTGCATCTGTCAATGTCAGCTGTGTCTGTGCAACTGCTGTGTTTGTATTCACTTCCACAGGCTGCCTAAACACAACTCCGGGCAGAAAAAAGTTAAAAATTAAAGGCTTCATTCATGCAGTACGGCCATGTGAATGACGCCTAAGAGATAAACTGTAAACGCGGAAGTAGTTTTTGAGCCAAGAAAGATGACTGCTGTTTTGTTAATTTGATATAAACCCAGCTAAATAAAACACCATGCCATAATCATTAACAAATGAGCACACTGGTGCATTGTTCTAGCATTGACTTCCTGTGCGGCAGTACTGGAATACCTTCTGCCAGGGCTTTTTTTTCTCAAACAATAGGTGCAGGAACTCCCCCTTTCTAAGTCACTTCTCTCTGCTCCCCTACCCATCTACAAGCACCTTTACTTGGTTCCACCCCCTACCCACCTCCCAGTACCACTCCTTTTAGAGAATACAGAGCTAAGTATCATTTTGTGGTACTAAATTAATTGTATGGAATTTGTTAATGATAAAAAGTAAATTAAAAAATAGATCCCCTGCAGCCAGCAGCATTAGATCACCCCCCATCAACAATAGATTCATCCAGCAACAATGGGCCCCAAAACAAAATGCTGCCCTAGCAACAATAGACCCCTAGCAGCTAAAACAGATCTCCCGCAGCCAGCATTAAGACTATCCAGCAGCCAGCAACAATAGATCCCTCCCTCAACGGTAGATCCCTTCCAGCAACAATTGATCCCCATCAACAATAGATCCCCCACCAGCAACAATAGACCTCCACAGCAACAACAGACCACCACACAAAAATAGATCCCCTTTGGTGACAATAGATCCTCAGAAGCCAGCAACAACAGGTCCCCCTGCACATCCCAGCACTCCTTGCTATTACATACTTTTAGTGCTGGAGGTGCCGGAAGTGCATTCCCCAGCGTTCTCTCTGAAAAAAAGCCCTCCTTTCTCCCAGGTGCTGTGATCACAGGTCTGAACAGGAATTAGATATCCATATAACACCTAGCAGCTGTCAGTGACTAGAGTTCCGATTTGGCTTGAGGTCTGGTTGGGGTATCTCTACTTGGGCCCTCAGTCCAGTCCTCCCTTGACACACACACACACACACCAGGGTAGGATGCCAAATATGTCTGAAAAAAAGAATCAATATGACAGTGCTTCCCACTCTGCCAAACTTGGCACCAGCTCCCAGGCATCTAGCAATGCCCTAAAGCCGTGTCTGAAAGCTGGCTTCACACCTATGCTTGTGTAGTGCATGTTTATGTGTGTTGGAAATGTGCATTAAGCATGTATTTTGTAGGTACACCCATGCATTTGTAATGCACATCCAAACCGTAAACAAAGCAGCTGACTATTATCGCATCACAACACAACTACAAAAAAACATACATATGAAAACAGACATGTAATGTGTTGTAATGTGCAAGGAAAAATGGTTTTTGGTAGAGATGAGCGAATTATTCAAAAATTCGATTCGGCTGATTTGCCGAATTTGCGGAATAAATTCAATTCGATGCGAATTTATTCGCTGCGAATTTAACTTATTAAAAGGGTTTCTAGGCTTCAGAGAGCCTTTATATTAGTGCAGAACACTGTACCTTTAATTTAAAATGCCCTTGGAGTCTGCTGGGGAAGAGAAATAATACTGTCAGTCAGTATGACATGCAGATGAGTGCCGTTGATCTTAGAATCACCGCACACTTCACTCATTTGGGCAGTCACGGGGCCAAAACCAGAGTGTGGAGCCACAGTGTGGCGGTGGAGGCAGCAGCAATGAGGCCATACAGCACCCTATGACAAAAATGGAACCCACCAGCAGTGTGAGGAGACCTGAAAGTGGCACATGGCAGAGTGTGGCGATGGAGACAGCAGCAATGGGAGGCCGTACAGGGACCCATGAGAGACTCTGGACCTGGCAGCAGCATGAGGAGGCGGTACAGGGGCCCATGGCAGAGTGGCGAAACGTAAGCAGCTTAAATTGAAGGCCATACAGAGGCCTGTGTTAAAAAGTCCCCCAGCAGCGCAGAAGAGAAGAAGAAGAAGAGGAGGATGAGGAAAGAAGAAGATGAGGAATGAAGTAGATGAGGAAGAATGAAGAGGATGAGGAAGAAGAAGAAGAGAGGATGAGGAGAAGAAGATTTGAAGAGAAGAATTAAGAGGATGAGGATAATTTTAAAAAAGAGGAAGAGGATGAAGAAGAATGAAGAGGATTTTTTTTTGAGGATGATTTATTTTTTTAAAAAATGAGGATAGAAGAGGTGGGGATGAAGTTAAGAAGGAATTAAGGAGAGGATGATGAAGAAGAAGAAGATTTTAAATAGGAATGAAAAAAGAATTTTAAGAGAGGATGAGGATGAAGAAGATGAAAGAGGAATGAATAGAGACTGAGGATGGATGAAGAAGGGATGAAGAAAGAAGAAGAAGAGGATGATTTGAAGAAGAGGATTGAAGAAGAAGAGGATGAGGAAGAAGAAGAAGAGGATGAATTTTGAGGAATTTTGAAGATGATAATACGAAGAATTATGAAGAACGAAGAGGTGATGAATATTAGTTTAAGAAGAGGATGATGAAGAATTTAAAGAAGATATTGATGACAGAATTTTAATTATAAAAGAGGATAATTTTGAAGAAGAAGCTTTTATGAATTGATTTGAATTTAGGATACGAAAGATTT